TAAAATAACTTTGTAAATGTTTACAATTTTGATATTATGTTGAGTTGATAATACTGTAACTGCAATTAACACTACAGTATAGACCGGAATAATGCCCTTCCCCTGTATTGCACACAACATACTGATGGATTGTTTCCATGTGATTGATATAATATTTTGAACTTTTATATCGAGATTAAAATACTGTATTAATAGTAATTATGTGAATGTAAATACTGTGAAAATATGAATAGTATGAAATGATTGCATTATCTCTGTTGACCAACAGTACAGCTCACTGGACACGAGTCCTCTCAGCAATTATGTGATGCACCCCTTCTGGAACTTCACTGTCAAGGTATGTGACCATCAATTCATAATCACTTCATTTGATCCATTCATTTGACAACAGATTGTTCCCAAATGGTTGGCTCCCAATGTCTTAACATTCGCGGGATTTTTATTTACTGTTGGCAATGGACTACTGCTTACTATTTATGATAAAGATTTTTGCGGATCAAGTGATGACTATAAATGGTGTCCACCAGTGCCGGCATGGGTATGGCTGGCGTGTGCTGTGAGTCACTTCTTGGCGCATACATTAGATGGAATCGATGGCAAACACGCCAGACGTACCAACTCGAGCGGACCATTGGGCGAACTCATGGACCATGGATTGGACAGTTGGACGGCTCTGTTCATCCCATTCTGTATTTATTCCATCTTCGGTCGCGCGGACTTCAGTGAAAGTCCTCTACGAATGCTATTTATATTTTGGACAATATTTTTGACCTTTTATTTGTCTCATTGGGAGAAATATAACACCGGAATCCTTTACCTCCCGTGGAGTTACGATGCCTCACAAATAGCACTCTTTAGCATGTATTTGATCACATATTTCGGTTCTTATAAATACTGGAAATTTGTAGTACCGGTGCTCAACATCACTAGCGGACGACTCTTTGAACTCATATCTTATGGTAAATGCAATGAATATTAACAATACTTATGGCAAAACTAATGTCAATTGATGGTTCCAGTCGGAAGCTTCGTAGTGTCGGCGCCCGTCACCGTCTATAACGTGTATTCGTGTAAACACTTAAAGCAACCGACTTTCTGGGAGTCGTTCCGACCGCTGGTCCCTCTCATAGTGTTATTCTCTACAACGAGTGGTTGGGCGGCCTTTTCCCCTAACAATGTGATTGATCGCGAGCCCCGAACCTTCTACTTCATGGTCGGAACCGTATTCGCCAACATTGCTGTCAGTATTTCCATTGAGTTTCTTATTTCTGGACTCGTCTTCTAACTCATTGTTTCATTATATCCTTTAGTGTCGACTAATTGTTAGTCAGATGTCATCGACGAGATGCGAAGCCGTCAATTGGTTTCTGTTGCCGTTGGCGGTGACTGTGATGGCGGTGACGACACTCCCGATGAGCGAACGCCAGGAGGTGTTACTCTTGCGGATGAACTCATTGTTGTTTTGTTTACTTCACATCCATTACGGCGTGTGTGTTGTGCGGCAAATGTGTGAACACTTTAGAATCAATTGCTTTTCCCTTAAGAAGAGAGACGACAGTGAAGAAGCTGTTAGTTTAGGTAAAGTTAAGATATGAAT